CATATTGGGCTGTATGGCCTTATGAAACAATGTTAGTACCTAAAAGACATGTTCTTCGTTTATCGGATTTAACTGATGATGAACAAATTGGATTAAGTCAAATTATGAAGCAATTATTAATTAAATATGATAATCTATTTAATACATCTTTTCCATATTCAATGGGTTGGCATGGTGCACCAACAGGTAGTTTTAACAATGAAGATTGTTCACATTGGCAATTACATGCTTTGTACTATCCACCATTAGTACGTTCAGCTACAATAAAAAAATTTATGGTTGGTTATGAAATGTTAGCACAAGCTCAACGTGATATAACACCGGAATATGCTGCTGAAAGTCTTCGTAATTTATCCAGTGAAATACACTATAAAGATAAAAAGAATATATAAAATTTTAGTAACAAAGAGAAAAAAAATAGAAAATTGTTATCTTAGTCAAATATACGCGCTCATATTTACTTTTTTATTTTAGGTGATAGATAGACCCTTTTTATTTTTTTTCATCTTATAACCTTATTCTTATGATTTTTCCTCTAGATTTTTATATTATATAAATGGAATTAAGTAGTGATATAGAAGAAGATTTTCGTCGTTTAAATAATCAAACATATATATCTGATAAAAATTATGAAGAATTAGTTGGAAAAATTTTTTCATTATTTACATCCGCAAATTCAAATATTGAGTTGTCATCATCTTTTGATAAACGTCTTATATCATCGATATTAACATTTATATTTGAATGTGTGAAATATGATTTTGATGAAACATCAATTCGTTCAAAATTTGATGATCTACAATTTACAATAAAAACTCGACAAGATCGATTTATAAATGAATATAATAAAAATTTATCAATTATTCAATTATATCTTAAACAAAAATCAATAGAATATGATCGTTTATTAAATATAAATTGGCGTTTAGATTTACAATTAAAAACAAATTATGCTGATAAACTTCTTCAACCAATTTATATTCTTGATTGGACTAAACGAGATAAATATACAACAAATATTGATCATATACAATTTAGTTGTACACAAGAAAGTTTACAAGAACTTGTAGAAACATTAAAAGATGCACAAAGTGTTCTTCATCAAATGCAATATCAACAACAAACAAAGAAATGATATTTTTATTATTTTTTTTTTTGGAGTAGAAAAATTTTAATTATTGTTACAAAAAAAAAAAAATAAATATAATCGATTGTCTTTTTTTATTTTATTTGAATGAATTCTCTTAGATAAATTCGAACAAAAACAGAGAAAATTTAGTCAAGAAGAGGAGTGAGTCTTACTCCAGCACAGTTTTCTTTATCTTCGTGTTTATGATATCGATACAATGATGTTTTCATAAGATATTCATCCACACAAGAACATACAATCGTTAATTTGGCAAATCGAAATTCTTTAATGCACAAAAAATGGGGTTGAAATTTTTCCAGTATCTCAGAAGAAATCTTGAAAATTTCATTCAATTTGAATGTTTCCGTTTCAAAATCGACTTCGACGAAGACTTAGTAAATATTTTATTTACAGACTTGTTTCGCTGGATTACAATTTATTTTGAGTATATCTGAATTAGTGTCAAGATTAGTTATCAAAAGTAAAATTATTGCCATTTACATAATACTTGTTCTTGATTTCAATCTTTGGTTTATATGATCATAAATAATGAAATTCTAATAATTTTCTTTTGGAATATTTTTTTTTACCATTTCTATTTATTTCTAGATTAGATCATTTAATTTTAATATGGCATTGAATCTCTTTCGATCAAGTTTATTAACAACGAATAATCGTCAGTTAATAATTAGTTTAATTAATATTCGTACACATTTTACTAAGACACCTAATCATCATACAAAACCTAAATGGAGACCATTCCGACGAGCAAAAGTTCTTGATGTATATATCTATCTTAATTAATTTATAGCCTATATTAATCATTATGTTTTTATTATTATTTTAGGTTGATCTACCTGATTTTGATAAAGATCGAAAATTACGTTCATTTACATTACAAGAACAAAGAGAATATTTAAAACGTGAAGGTATTCCTCCCGTTCGTAATGCTGAATATAAACCATTATACATCGATGCATCAAGTAAATATTATTATTTGTTGATTAATTAATAATTTATTTATTTGTTTTGTTTTTCATCCTTAGCGGAAGCATTTGAAGCTTATGTACCACCAGAAGGAGATGGAAAAGCATCATTAATGTCAAAAGATGTAAGGTTTATTGAATTATTAGAGATAGTTAAATTGGAATATATATGTGTGTGTTTTAGAGATTAAATCAATTTTATACATCATTAAAAAAGAACATAGCAACAAGAAAACATTCAAGTACAATTCGTAAATATGAACCAGATTTTGAACCATTATTATTTGCTGAAATAGCCCAACAAAAATATATTGATGCACATCAAGCATTAATGGAGTAAATGAAAATTTTATTTAGGTTTTTTTTTATTTTTAAATAAATATAATTCTTTTAGTCGTGATGAGGAACGTCTTATTCAATTAGTAACACCAGGATCATTTGCAGTAGATAGAATTTTTTGTATTTTATTTAATTTTTATTCTTTTAGTTTTTTTTCTATTAGCAAATGAGTCGTGGTCTTCGTTATAAAACTTTACAGTGGAAATGGATTGAAGAAATTGAACCATCTTATGTTGTTGCAATAAAAAGCGGAGAAATTCTTAAAGGTATGACAATGGCTCAAGTAACTGTACGAATGCATTCAAAACAAGTAAATATATAACTCAAAAGAAAAATGAGAATTTCGTTTTTTATTTCAATATTTATTTATTATTTTCAGACGTGTGCAATTTATGATCGATTTGGTCGTTTAATGTTTGGTAATGAAACATTACCAAAAGATGTTCTTGAATATATTGTTTTTGAACGTGTATTAACATTATCACATAGTCAATGGCGTGTTCATTCAAAAATATTACCATCATGGTTGCCACCATCAGATTCATTATTATATACATTTGAAAAACCAAATATAAAATATATTGATGAAGATACACCAACAGATACGATTGAAGATGAAAAAAAAAGAGAACATATCGCTAAAGAACAAGAAACAACAAAAACAATATCAGCACCAAATGAATTAAAAACACCAATACCAACTCTTACCGATATAAGTCAACATAATAGAAAAAGACCTGTTGGTTATACATAATTGTTCTTTTCAATGTATTGAAAAATAAAATTAGATTGATTTCAAATGTAAAACTATAGAATTCATTTTTCTGAAGATATTCTAATAGATACTGCAAAAGTTCTTCATTAATTTTGTCTCCAGTACAACGTAACAACAAATCATCATGAAGACTCGATAGTTTTCTAGATTAGAAAGTGCAAAATCTCTATTACAAAGTCGGGTAAAAATAGTTGGTTCGTAATGTTTACCGAAGGCGAAAAAGTTTTCAGAACATGTTTGACTGAAAAAGTGCCTTACAGCTTCACACAAAACCAGTGATGATAAGTGCATTGGGTGTATATAGAAGGGTGTGAGTCCGCATGTACTATTCATTCACTTGCGCACCCACATTCTGTAAGAATATGTGAAGCTCTTCTTAGTACAAGAGCGATCGTCTCTCATTAGAGAATAATGTTCGATGACAGTTCGACTTCTGCTAGTGGAGAACGTTCTACCTATATTTAAGTGGCATTTTATGACATCTTCTAGTATTAAGCAGGTCAGCTGCATCATCGTTGATGTAGTCACTAGTTAAAAGTCAAGTATTAGAGTTTTATAATTCTTTATCCCAAATTTAAGTTTCGAGAATATCTTTCTCTCATTTCTTGGTAATCTGTTCTTCACCATTATTATCTTCCATTTTTTCGTATATAAATATTTTCAGAGCTAAGAAAACTTCTGGAAAACTCGTCAAATACCTTCGTCGTAGCATATCTTAATCCTTTTGGAACGGAGTGTTTTGAAGAGGGTGGGTGTGGGTGTGGGTGTGGGTGTGGGTGGGTATCAGTGTGAGTAAGTCTCATGAAGGCATACAACAACACCCACACCCACACCCACACCCACACCCTAGTCTTACATCCTAAAAACAATCGGTTTCATACGAAACTTAGAAAAAAGTTTTGCAAGTTGATAAACGAAAAAAGGATCATCTTCTGAATACACAGGAAAAACCTTTGCTTCTGAACCTTTTTTTACGTTTCGGAGACAAGAAAATGGTTTTGTACAAAGGCTACAAAACCTTCGCGGTTCAGTTGAAATTTTTGAAGGTTTTGTATGAAACTCTGGGGGTACTCTCTCAAAGGTTTTGTAGCCTTTGTGCAAAACCATTTTCTTGTCTACGAAACCTAAAACAAGGCTCAGAAGCAAAGGTCCTTCCTGTGTAGTCAGGGGAAGATTCTTTTTCGGTTTAGCAACTTGTTAAATCTTTTTCTAAGTTCCGTATGAAACTGATTTTTTAAAAAGAGTAAATGAAAAGTTAATGACGATGAATAGATTTCAATCTAGAAATCTGTTTTAGATACATCTGGAAAAGAAAACGAGTACGATTAGTTCAATATTAGAATNTATCTTATATAGATGGACGATCCTCCTTCTTATTCTTCTTCTTTCTCTTCTCTCTCTCTCTCTTCCAGTAGTTAGTTGTTGTCGTGCTTACTGTGTGTGTGTGGTGTATATGTTATAGATGGTGATCTAAGGTCGATCTATTGTTTTTGTTATTATTTGTTTTTTCCTTTTTTCCATCTTTTTGTGAACAGTTTAGGTTCTTCTATATTATTTTAAATAAATAAAGTACGGAACCTAACAATGGTGCACTAGCCGATATTTTCTTAAAAACTAAATTAAAAATTCCGCGTGGCAGGCAAAGCAAATATTTGGCTAAAAACAACATTGATGAATATTAAACCAACTCGATCTACAACCGATTTGATGCAAACAACTATTGATTCTTTACTATTACCGCTTAAAAAAGAAAAACAAAAAATTATTAATAATGTATAATGCTGACCAAGTTAATATTGATTCTACATTTACAGCACTTGATCTTAATAAAAATGTTAAAAATGTTACAGATTCAACAACATATATGCTCGGTCATGATTTAAATGATCAGCGATCAGTTGAGAATGATCACACACAACAAGCTTTAATACAACAACAATTAAATTCAATACAAAAATTTGATGGACATGGTAGCTAGGCATGTACCGAGCCCGAGTAGCTCGGGCTCGGCCAGGCTCGGGCTCGGTCAGGCTCGGGCCCGGTCAGGCTCGGGCTTGGTCAGGCTCGGGCTCTGTAGGGCTCGGTCTAACTAGGTCTGACTCGGGCTAGATAAGGCTCGATAAGACTCAGCCGAGCTCGGTCTAACTAAAGCTTGGTAAGGCTCGCGTCGGGCTCGATCTAACTAAGGCTCGGTCGAGCTCTGTCTGACTAGGGTTCGGTTGAGCTCGGCCTGACTAGGGCTCGGCCGAACTCTGTCTGACTAGGGCTTGGTTGAGCTCGGTCAGATTCGATTGAGCTCAGTAAGGCTCGGCCAGACTTGGGTTCAGCTTTTCTTCCTCCCCTCAATGAAGTTTCTTAAGCGTTTTTTCGTTTCATGCATCATAGTCAAATCTTTCTTATGATTATTTCAACATACTAACCGACAGAATATCTCAAGCTTATACATGGTCATACAACTCGACTTTATGACCGTTAATCCACCTGCTGGTTTGAATATTACGATCTCTATGAGAAGAATTCAAACCACATAAACGAATGTTTTTATTTCATTATTTATTATCTAAACATCTGTACAGACTACATCACAAAAGAAGACAAAAAAAGTATTTATAAAGAAGTAGTATAAATATAATAAAAATTTTTTTTTTATAAAACCAGTCTACAAATTCATTGTAATTTAAAATATTAGCTTGAATATGATACATAGTTTTCGATGGTTTCACGCATATTTAAAGATTAATAAGGATGAATACATAGAACTATAAAAAATAGCGTGGTTGCCATCTGGTGAAGATTTTTACAGAAAATAGGGATAAGAGAAAAAAAATCGTAGCGAATCTATTATTTAAACAATTTCTTCGTTCATTTTGTCTTTTAAAAAAACCAAGGTGGCAAGATTTTGAGAACTCAATCGAGTTCGTTCCTTTCGTCCAAGAAATGCAGCTGTACTGAATACAGATTCAGATGGAACAGATGTAGCTGGAACAATGAGATGCTTTCGAGCTAAGGAGTGTAAAAATTTAAGTTGTGAACCATGTATATTCCAAAAGCCAAATGGATCGTGCTCCTTCGAATGTTGAACAATGTTAATATATTCTTGCATAGCTAATGATCGATATAAGGCGAGTTCATTAGCAATTGAAAGAACAGTATTGGATTTATCAATGCTTGTTTGACGTTTTCCGACGGAAGAAAGAAAACGTTGTATTGAATTTGGTTTTGATTGATGTTCTATTGTTGTAGTAGAAGCAGTATTGAGCGAGTAAGAATTTGTTGATGATGTTATGGATTCTTTATGTAATGACTTAATCTCTCGCTCGATTGACGTTCGATCGCCACGATCCATTGATCCAAAACCGAGAGGATCGTAAAACGCATGTTGCTAAAATAGAAGAATAACTGTTTCATATTATGGTCCATGTTTTAAGAACTTCAAAAAGTCAAACACAATTAAAGAATAATAGTTCATAACACTTGACTGGTTACTCTTCCTTAGTGGAATGAGAACAATCCCCTCATTCTAAAACTCGAACATTCATAACATTGGCGTTTGAGAGGAGAGCTCATGAAGAAATAACTAAGTAATCATCGCCATTGCCCATCAACATTACGAAAATTTATAGAAAAGCTCAAAACTCAAAACTGATTTGTAATCCATAAGTTAGATCAGTTATTATTTTCGTACAAAAATAAAATATAATAACTTAATTCTTGAGGAGGGGTATAATAAGGATACGTCAATTCTGACATAACTCCTTGCTACACTAAATCCATTGATTACCATCCGGTTTAGCTAAACACAAAAAATATAGATAAGTTGCCATATTATCACATGAAACCACTTTATCTTAAATAAAAATACTGCAAAGAAGATGGTTAGTGAAAAAAACGTCAATTAGATAATAAAGCAACTTGAACAAAATAACAACAACAATAATCATATAGTAAAAAGAAATTTTGCCGTGCAATATAATCTTTTAACGATAAGAATAGCTGATGATGGTCGTGCAATTTAAATAAGGTTGAAAATTCCTGTTTGTTAAAAGATTGGATTTGAACTGCAAGATTTCTCTTTACTATATTATTAAGCGTCAATTATGTTTGACAAGAAAGAATTCAATGAATTTCAGCATCTGTATCTGTATCAGTTTATACACTAATAAGCAACTTTTATTTGATTCTTTCACTCCCTTCCGCTTCTCAAAAAAGAAACGCTAAGAGATAAAATAATGAAAAACAATAGTTAAAATCACTTTTTTTGATTTTTGTTCTTCATTCATTGACGTTGAACAATTACAAAAGTGCCGGCTTTGACAATAAAACTTGGCCTTCTCTTTTTTCTAAGTGTTGTATAATGAAAGTAAAAACAATAGATAGAATCTTTTTTAACTTTGTATGGGAATTCGCTATATCCAAAACACAACAATGAAATCAAGAATGAGTGACTCACCTTTAACAATTCATATTGATCAAAATCATTATCAAAATAATTTTTGAGTTGTAATAATAGTAAATCTTTTAAATTGTCCACTTGAGAATTACTAGATCGTTCTTCAAGATGTTCTTTGAGATTGGCCACGGCAAAAAAGGCAATACCGATTGTACAATACTTCTTACCACTAATCAGTTTCGTGGCCTCGAAAAAAGCGTTGAGAACTTCTTCGACTGATTCGAGTATGATCCATTCTTCTCGGTTCAGTTCAAATTTAAGTAACCTTAAAATAAAAGTTATAGATTATTTATAAATTACAAGAAGTGGCTTTTCAACATGGATAACTAACCTACGATGCAAAATTAATTGACGAAATCTCAAGTCATAATCTCCGCTTAGAAACATCTTACAAAGTAAATTTTTTCATTTACAAGAGCAATGTCTGAACTACAAAGTTTGTATTAGCCATATTTTTTCAGAACGAATCTGAGAAAGAAGAAAAGTCAAAAACCAAACACCTCCAAAAAGTTCTTGTAATTTGACCAGCAAGCAACATCATTTTTTTATTTCCGCTAATTTTTTTAATGTTAGAAAAGAATGAAAAAACACTTCCGTTTGTGATTTTTGTAGCCTAAAGAACGCTCTTTTTAACCATATATTGCAAGTTGAATTCGATCCTAGTTTTAATACGAACATATTGCTTCTTTTGAGAGAGACTGAATAATTTGGTTATTCTCACTATATTGCCATTTTGTAGTGGTAAAAAAATATTTATTGAGCTATTCTTTTCTGTTAAATTTCTATGATCCGACATATTTCGAACGAATAATGCAAAACAAATCGACCTCATATATTGTTTCTGATGCTGGTGGCTAATATTCTTTCAGACTGATAGTTCTTAGAAAAAGAGTCTTTTTTTAGAAAAATTTCATTTTTCAAATCTTTTCGATTAAACAGTCAAGAATGGGTCTAAAAATTTTTAACAATGCTGATCTCGATAAAGTTTTTGATGCGCTACACTTTGGCGTATTTTTTGTGAATGCTTAGATCATGTAGCCTAAAAAAACGAAAAACATATTTTTCAGGTTGCAAAAATGCTGAAAGAGCTTTTTTTTAGAAGTTTTTGGTTTTCGACTTTTCTTTCTTCTCAGTGAGGGTGTCACTTTTGCGCTTTGTACCTAGGAACGGAAAATGCATAATCCTCTCGCATAAAACGATAAGCAAAGAAGTATACAAACCTTGGTATACTACAACAATGCTAGAAAACGAAATGCGTTCCCGTTCCTATGGTCGAGACATGTATAACAGTCTCTCATAGAAAGATAAGCAAAGAAGTATACAAACCTCGGTATATTAGAATAATGCTAGATAACGCAATATGAGTTGCGTTCCCATTCCTTGGGAACGGAACGCTCAAGAACAGGAACGCTGACACCCCTACTTCTCATATTCGTTCTGGAAAAATATGGCTGACACAAACTTTGTAGTTCAGACATTACTCTTTTCAATGAAAAAAAATATTTACTTTGCAAGGCGTTCCTAAGCGGAGAGCTATGAGTGGCGATTCTAGAAATTACTTTTGCATCGTAGGTTAGCGCCACTCAAATAACTAACTTCATTTGTTGTTTTTTGCTGAGATGAAGATCATATTTTTCTGCATATAGTCGATTAATGATTGATTTGTGCAATAAAATAGATTGAATTAAACGATGTGTAGAACTCCAACGACTTTTGCAATCTATTATCAGTGTATTTTTTAGTTTGGGTTCGATCTTTTGATGATCGAAAAAGTTGGACAAAATTGAAGATTTGTTGATTGTTTTTACTAAACCTCGACACTTCTCAATAGCCTGATTAGTTGTGTATTGTTCTAAGCAGGTAATTAATGAAGTATCTTCGACAACACCTTCCTCCCAGTTGTCGATAACTACTTCAGAAATCTTGGTTGAATCATCATCACTATCTGAATCTTCATCATCTGATGAATCTTCACTATCATCAATACTTGTTTCATCAGAACTTGTATCATCAATATCATTCGTAGACATACTTTCTAAAATTGAGAAAAGAGTACAGAATAAGAGACAACAACATGATATTTTCTTATAAATATATTTCACTCTCGTTATGAAAAAGCATTTAATATACATACCAACTGAATCGTTTATAATGCTTGAGACAATATCAATATTTTCGTCACCATCACCATCTTCTTCGTCGCTTGCAGGTGTTTCAGCAACTTGTGCATCCTTCACCCATAAGCATAAACCATTGCAAACGATAAGATGTAATTTATGGCCTAAACATTGAACTCGTTTAGGTATGAGTAAATCAAATGATTTGCGCATATTGGATGCACCATCGCATGTAATTGTTCTTGTCTTTTCGTACACTTGTAATCTTTTTAATGCTTTTTTGATGGTATAGCCAATCTGTTCACCTGTGTGTCTTTCACGAAATGATGTGAAAGATAGCACTGTTGAAATTAACTTGGAATCACCATTAAGAAAATGACCTGTCAAACAAATATATGAATTAAGTTTGCGATCCGACCACAAATCTGTGGTGACAGCCAAACAATCAACGTTTTTCAGTTGTGTCATAAGTAAATTTGAATGTTTTGAATGTAACCTTTTTAATTGATTTTGTACAGTTCGACGTGTTGGTGCTTTATAACCTTCAAAACAATATCAAAGTCAGAAAATCTATTGCGAACTATATATTGAAAATTAAGCTAAAAAAAGGTTTAATTCCATCCCTAGTGAAGGTACTCATCAAGCAAGTACTCAAAAAGTACTCACGCCAGAACATGCCGCAGGACCTCATGAGTATTCGCGAGCTTCGGGTACTCGTTAGTAGTACTCGTTCTAAAATCTGCGTATTGGAGTACGACAATTGAGTACTTCATGTTTAATACTGAATGTTTCTTGAGTACTGCTAGATAGTTTCTATGTACTCTAGTGATTTATGTAAAATACTCATAAGCCAATATTCTGTTCAGAATTGTCGCATTACATCCACTTTATTTAGATATAAAATTGAATGAAAAAAACTGTAGACATACATAATGAAATTTTGCGAAAACAATACATACGAAAACTACAGCTATCACTTTGTTTTCACAATTTTTTTAATAAATAATACAGCTGGAGAATCAAAGAAGAAAAATATGAAATTTAGAAATTTTTTTATATGTTTGTGTGAAAGGAAAAGACAATAGGACACATAGAAATTTTTTGTTCTTCATGACGACTGTTATCAGCCTTAGACTTGGATTAGGTTGACTGATATTACAAAACGAAAAGAAAAAATGAAAAAAACAAAACAGCCCAATTTGAGAAATTTTGACGAAAAACATAATGAAGGCTATTACGTTGTAAAGTATAATATAGATATATGATATCAAGTTATAATTTTTCATATTATTATAGGTTCATCATATTAGGTTATATTTTAGATCGTTGTAGGTTTCATTATGTTTTTCGTCAAAATCTCTCGACTTATTCTCTGTTTTGGTTTTTCGTTTTTTCTTTTCGTTTTGTAACATCAGTCAAAATGATCCAAGTCTAAGGCTGATAATAGTCGTCATGAAGAGCGAAAATTTTCTATTTGTCCTATTGTCTTTTCCTTTCATACAAACATAGAAAAAACTAAATAAATTTCTAAATTTCATATTGTTCTTCTATGATACTATATTGAAATTTCAAGATCTTATATACAGCTGTTTGCAAAAAAACTTACAGAAAAATAAGAATTTTTTCTTGTGTTTTCATGTTGTATGAAATTAGTATGCGTTCATTTTTTCGGTGGCCGTTGTTTGTCAGCTGGACAAGGAAATAACACGATGAAAATATGATTGTTTTTGTTTTGGATATATAAAACTTAAGTCATATCATGATCTACTCTTTAAATTAACTACTCCATATTCATATTACATTATTGAAGGAAAGCCATGAGATCAGCTAGCATTGTGAAGCGTGAAAGAAAGATTCTCATGAGACCTCGCTATTCATAATATCAATCCATAAAAATCAATAAATTTAGTTAGGTATTAAAGGCCAATAAATCGATGATACGCCTTCAGTATCAAAGAAAAGATATCCTGTATCATAATCAAGTGTTATTTAAAGGAATAAATGAAGACATATAGGCAGTCTATAGAGATGTGACATTCTTCAACAATCTATTCCCTTTTTTAATGAAATTTCGCAAAAATTAGCAATCGTAATAGGATCGCAACCTCAAATACACCATCAATATTGATGAATTCTTCATCAATAATCATACACCTCATATAGTGAACTGATCAGCTTTACAGTCTGAATCTAAATCAGACAGAAAATATGTAGATAGGCATCAAACATAAAGTTGAAAGTAGCAAATAAAAAAAATACCGAAGAAGTCAAATGATTTTTAGTAAAAGAGTTTTAAAATATTGATATGTGTTGTAATAAATTGTACATTGTCTATGAAAGAGTGATGTTTTTTTGTTATTTCTTCCAAAAATGAATGAAATTTTAAATTATGATACAATATAGTACTCTAAGTGGTCTATAGTTTCACAGATTAAACAATTCAAATAGCCTTGTATAGAGAGTAACACTCATAAAGCAAAGCGTGCAAGGTTTCTTGCAAACAGCTGTATATATTGCACATGATGATGAGAGCTTGAGAACCTTCATTGTTAGAGAAGAAAGTAAAATATTTCTTTATTTGTATACAATAAAGATGAAATTTTATTTATTTGTTTAAAAGACCAAAGAAAAGAATAACACTTTAAAAAATGGAAAAATTTCTTTATTATTAAGAAAATAAACAATGGACAAGGAATTGCACAACTGCATGATCGCTAATTTTGTATTATGAGCAATCATTTCTGTCTTACGATTCCAGATTTGTTATGTATTTTTTTAATAATAAATTTGCTTGTTTTTTAAAACTTTACTCTTTTTCTTGATCTTTTAAAAATAAATAAAATTTTATTTTTATGATACCAAAGTAAAGAGATATCAAACTTTATCTATTAACAGCGAAGACTTCTTTATCTTTATCTCATAGAGTAAAAGTGCATTAAAACATAGATTGGGCACAGTAAAATGTAGAAAAAGAAAAGTGAAAAATAAAATTATCCTGTGAAACATAGACTTCTGATTACAAATAAAAATGCATTGTTGTTTACTATAGAAACAATCAAATAGATATTTTTTAATTCATGACTTTATACTCTTTTAGTAGTGAATAAAAAAACAAAAGATAAAATTATTTCTCTATAATCTTATCCAGATGTTTTCGTGATTTAAAATCATAATGGACTTATAACAAGATTTGTTAGTTTCTTTTCTTTCATTTGTTTTACCGTTAATTGGAAAATCTGTATTTTAATACAGAATCTGTTATCTTAGGAAATTAAATTTGAACGAACCTCTATTAACAGATTGAAGTAAATATCCAATCTCACGCGACCAGTTAACACTTTCGAATGAAAAGTCATGTTTTTTTTTCTTAAGGTTACCATTCAACAAAATCGTATAAATGGTTCATGAGCAAAGAATAGAGGATAAACTCGATGATTCTTTACAGTAGTTTTTTTCTATTGTCCGTTGTATTACGTCATTTTACTTTATTATACAATTTCAATCTATTTTCGTACAGGCTAGTGCATAATTGCTTTGTTAAATATTCTGCGAAAAAAATTAATATGAGTACTACATTGAATACTCACGCGATTACCTATAAGTAAGTCTATAGAGAAAAACTCGCCAGAGTACATGAACTCTATTGATACACATAAAACTGCTCTAGTACTCATGTCGGCAAGTCGTACTCGCTTGATGAGTATTTTTAGTAGGGATATGATCATTTATTTTTGAAAACCTAAATAGAAAACCTCAGTTGAAGACTATTCTTCATCCGATTGAATGAAAAAATATATGAAACTAGGGTTACCGTCCTGATCCGAAGTCAAAATTATTAGATTAGCAAAGGTACTTACCAGGAAGCATTTCATACAGAAGACGAGCCATTCCTGACTTTCTTAGATCTCCAAAACTACGACTATCTTGAATAATACATTTATAGACCAAATCGTTGATTTTTCTTTTTACATCAATATTGATTGATGTTTTGGAACCGTTACCACCATTACTCGATGCAAGTTTTGAAATATTTTGACAAGTGTATAAATGACGTCGAAGAGTACTTGTTGAATGATCCTTGCACGATATTTGACGGTGACACTTGCGACATTCGGCTTTCCCATTTGATAATTTTGTTGCATAGTTCCATACTACTGATTTGGAATACAATGTGTCATTCTCCTCTTGTGGCAGATGGGTCGATTTAATTCGATCGATTGATTCATCGGTACCTATTGTAGCTGATAATTTAATTGTTGAACGTAAGGATAAATAATACTCACTTGGCTGTTGATCAATGGTGCCTGAACGATTTTCATCATCCGACACTTCGCCGAGATATATGACCTTTTTTTTTGATCGACTGGTTCTTTTATATGTTCTTTTAGAATTAATAATTGAATTTGTTTTGGCACGCATTAAAAAATAGCAAGTATAAAAGAAAAATTATGAATACAAGAGATTGGTGCACCCTCCTTCCTACTTCAATTATTTCGATGTTAATAAATATGCACAAAACAAAAACAGAAGTCATTAGTGATAAATCGTTAATTTTTCTTTCCTATAAGAAAAATGATGGTCGTCTATTTGTTTTCATTTATACGCACACACTTTAGTCTAAAGTATACAATTCGATATGTTGTTTCTCGACGACACTGTCTTCAAATATTCTTTCATTTTCATTCAGTTGAATAGCAGATGCGTCTTTTTTACATTGTTTCTTTACAAAAATACCCATGTGATGAAAATCGCACAAAAATCGGTGATTTATCGCGATTTATCATGCCGATTAATTGTGAGATTATATCGCGATAAAATCGCTCAAACTGGCGATTTTTAGCGAATTTTTTTCGAAAAATTCGTGATTATTCCGCGATTTTCTTCTAATCAGTAAAGGTGATTCGTTTCAATTCTCATCCTAACATTTTACTCTTTTTTCTTTCGTATTGCGACTTTTAGTTTGCATAAAAAGTCTTTCTTCATATTAAGATGATTATTTATTTTTTAATAAAATAAGAATAAGTTAATAAGATTGAAATGGAAAAAGGAATACATCGGAAACGTTTTTAAGGCACATAAAACTTATGATAAAAATAAAAATACGAAACAGTACAAATATATGCACTCTAAAAAATCAAGACACATGATGAAAAACAATTAAAGCAGACAAATGAGAAAAAAAATATAAAATTATTTTATGTAAAATATTTTCTCAATACATACTATCATATCGAAATGCAGTCGTTTCTATAATTAGTAGCTCTTAGACCAGCTGAAGCGTCCAATAAAAAAGTTGTTTAAGTTAACGACAGCATAGGTATTTGTCATGTTAATATAATCTAGAAAAAAAGAACAAATAACACAATGAGACATAGGGTGAAAGAATGGAATAAGTAAAATATTTTTTTATATTCGGAAAACTGCATAACTCGTCAAAACTAATTTAAAAAAAATAGGAATACTTACAAATTCGAAAATTTACTAAATACTTTCACATAATTTACTTAAATTTTATAAATATTGATGATACAAGTAAGACATAAGCCGTAGAATGTTGATCAGTTAGTTAGATCATGCCAAATCAGAAGGAAAAAAATTAGAATAAAATGAAAGCATTTACCTTCAAAATAAGTTGTATTTACCAATGTCTTCGTATAAAATTATCACTGCTACCGAATCCATGCGCTCATATACAACATATAACAGCAAATTAGTAATAAGACAATACTCACGTATTATTGCTTTTTGAAGAAACATTATCTGATAAATAACACAATAAAAAATAGTCATCTTTTACGTGTTTAATCTTTCGTTTTAATAATGTTTGGCAATATTAGAGTAATTGTAGGATACGAACATTATCAGAATTGAAAGAATGAAGTCAAAAAAAGAAGTTTATAATAAAAGGAAAGTTAATTAGAGAACAAAAGTTTTTCCTACCTCTTCTTGATAATTTCATATTTTAATTCTAAAAACAAAATATTTCAATTGAGATAATATTTGACATCTGATTAAATGTTTTTCATAATGTACTCCTTGTTATACTAAATTGATTTGTGAATCAAAGTTCTAATCACAAATGACAAGAAATAAACTCAAATAAGACGATCTGAAAAAAGCAGCAGATATGAACTTACTTATTTGATTATTTAATAATATGTTGAACCAAAGTTAGAGATAGACAACGGCATATAAATCTATAAAAACAAGATAAACAAACTTAGACATCGAATAAAACTTACCATTCCATTAAATAAAGCTAAAAAAATATAGTACTAAGTAGATACATAAATCAAGATAACTAAGTGATTTTAGACAAAGCATAATGAACAAAAGCAGTTAAGCTGACCGTTGTTCAACTTCTGAGTAGCCACTTTTGTCTAACAAAAATATAACGAAAGAGGGTGCTAGTCTATTTTTATTAATATATATGTATTTTATAAAGAGCAAAGAATTTTCATTTGTTTTCACTACTCGAACAAAGATGTTTACATTGTTTCCTTGGTCGTTAATATTATTACTAGCTATTTCGTTGTAGCTGCTTTGAGCATCAGTTTAGAAATATCATATTTCACGTTATCTTACAGTTATATTCAATAATCAAGCCCTTATCGTAGTTAATCCAACCAATATTTAGAAAAGTATAATTTAAAAATATCTTTCTTACACATATTTCACTACATCAAAATTCATTCTGTGTCGGTAGCTGCTGGTCCCATGTTCAATTCAAATGATGAACAAGACATACCAGTGTCTATTAGATCCAAGTGTTTAAAAATAAGACGCATCACCTATCTAACATTTGTCTATACTAGACTACAGACAGATGCACCGTCTGGTAAGACGGGTGGCATTTTTTTGACAGTGTAAAACAAAGAAGCGTCGCCATTTTTGTCGTATTGGTCAGAACTAATCAGTCAATATAAAATGAGACTAGAATGATAGATGGTGGAACATTTTAATCTTGGAAAGGCTGCACACATATCAGATATAGCATACTATGAATATTCTTAAATCAATTTTTAGGTCAGAAATTACTCAACATTGCTATGTTTTCTTTTGTTGAGTCAAAAAATATTAAGTTAAATAAATCGCCGATTTAATCGCAATGTATCGCCAATATTAAAAAAAATGCCAATCAATCGCGATTAATCGTTAATATTCTGAAAAATCGCGATTAATCGTTCAAACTTAGGCGATTTTGACGACATGGGTACTTTCTTCGCATAATCTTTTCTAACTAATCAATGCTACTAAAAAAAAAAGAAATATTCGTAGAGAAAAAAATCTCCATGTTAAAAATCAACATACTTCAGTCGCTGACGTATGAGAACTAGCATATATGCAAACATAATCTTGAACTGTACTTACTTTGTATACATCTATTATAGTGTAAGAATAAATTTCAAGTACAAGCGACGCAGCGCTCTTAACGCATAACAAAAATAAATAAATAAAATACTTGTGAGAAGACAAAATTTAGGAAACCAGCAAGAAGATAAATCGAGATAGACCGAATCTGACCACCAAAGTCTGACTCAGTCCGAGCCCGACCGAGCCCGAGCCCGACCGAGCCCGAGTAGCTCCGTCTGGGCTCGGGCTCGGTACATGCCTAATGGTAGCCCAGAACTTTGGTTAAAACATTTTATGGAAAAATTTGACTCCTTACAACTTACACGTCGTGAACAATATGAATTAATTCCGGATACATTGACTGGTGAAGCACTTATTNGTAATCAATTAGAGTTCATTTATTATGACCGATGACTTCTTGTTGTATATTCAATAGATCACAATAAAAAGCAATATAATACAAGAAATTTAAAGTCACTTGTAGTAATAAAAACACCAATTACATTTAATTAGTCAAACGAACGATGATATTTATGTATTAAAATCAAAACAAAAAAGTTATGCTTTACGATTTTTTCCATCACCGAAATGAAAATGTTAAGCAATATATATTAATGGCTATCACGAGATTATGAAAGAAAATATATCAAATAGTAATGTCAACAGCTAGATTAAGTTAGCTCTATTATATATAATACAAAATATAGAATCGAACAAGTTGATTATGATGACAGGCAATGAACTAGAATTAAAATATTAAGGAATACGAAACTTATTAAATGATCAAATTTGTATAAACAATACTAATGAGAGAATGTTTTCAACTGATCTTACGAATATGAGTATGAGAAATCTAATAAGTCTTCGTATGCTGGTTTTCCAAACTAACTAACATTTTGCCAAAATTGTTTTTTTGATCTACTCACAAAAGAAAGAGTTCGTACCCTTAGCATATTGCTGCATTTTTACGATAGTTTTTAAATGAATGTCGTAGATCCCTTTGAGAAAACTGATTTTCGAATTCTGACTTGAAGCTTTGTATAAAGGTAGATCTTAATAAGAATAGTTTATTGTGTAAATTTCAGATTTTTTTTAGTTTGCTTTTATCCTGCAATAAGATCCTGAGTAGAACCACGACATTCATGAAAAAAATGTTCTCATAAACTGCGCAACATTTTAATATGAAATAGTGCTGAAAATTTTAAAAACCATGTTTTTGATATCAACTATTTTAAATATGTGCATGTCACGAATATATTTACATGAAAGAAATGATTGAATACATGAAAAATAAATCTAAAATAAAAGCATTGCATGCTAGAGAACTTCCAAATCGACATGTCGTAAATACGGATGTTTTTTCTAAAAAGAGAAAAACATAACTTAACAAAGAAAAGATAACAGGAATAAAAAAAAGAATTTTACTCGAAGATTTCGTTCGATACGATCAATTTCTGCTCCAACTCTATCAACAACATTTTCTCCATGTTTAAGAAGAAACATTTCAACTGATTCAGGTGTATCAATTTTTTGAATTTCCTAAATAAAAAAATCATAAATTTAAAATAAAAATCAAATCTACTTTTTCAAACTTTAAGAATAAGATCAATATCAATTCTTTCTAAATAAGATCGAGCTATTTCTCTTCCATCTATATCAACTTCAGCTTTAAACATAACCGATTGTGAACCCATATCTGTTGCTTTAATATCATACAAAGCACTAAAATTAAATTAAATTAAATCAAATCTATTAATTCAACATACAATAACTACATACCGAACCATTCGATCATTTTCTAAATCATTATTAATTGCTTCGATCTGATTCGGATGAATAGATCTTTAATAATAAACAATGAAAAATATTTTTTGTTTTGTTAAAAATTATTTCAACTTACCGTCCAACAAGTGCAGCTGTATTTGAATAAATAATAAAAGAAGCAACACCACCTAAAATACAACCAATAATAAGTGATCCAATGGCATCCGGAATAGGTGAATGAAGATAAAGTGAAAGACCCATAGCCGTAGCAGCTACACATACACCTAAAACAGCTGCTAGATCTTCCAATAGGACAACATTTACATTTGGTTTATATCCTTGATTAACTATCATATAGAAAAAATAATAAAACCTTAATAAAATAAAAAAGAAATTTCAATACCATATTCCCAAAATTTCATGCCAGTTTCTTTAGCTGATGCTCGAATTTCATTAACAGCCATATAAAGTGTTGCTATAAATAACAAAATTAATAATAAATAAAAATAAAAATAATCGAACTCAAACCTCCTTCAGATATTAAAGAACCACTTAAAAGTGTTAAACCCTTTTAAAATAAAAAAAAAACATAACATTCAATGTTTTTTTATTTATTTATTTTTTTACCCAAACAATAGATTCCATTTCTTGAGGATGTAATAATACTAATATACCATGATACCAAGCTAGACCTGTACCAAAACAGAATATTCCTACACCACTAATAAGTGAGGATATATATGTCATATTCGAATACCCATAACTATAAAAAAACAAATTTTATTTAAGTCTTTATTATGTAAAGTTCATTTGTATTTACGGATGTTCGGGATTAGGTTTTTTTATTGATTGCCATAAACCAAATGTTAATATAAGTTGATTACATGTATCAGCAATGGAATGTACTGCTTCAGAAAATAATGAAGCCGAACCAGTAAATAACCAACCAATAGTTTTTACAACGGCATTTGTTGCATTACTAGAATTGTTGAAATAAAAAGCAAAAGATTTTCTTTTTAAATTTATAAAAAAAAATTCTCGTTTACACAAGAACAGCTGCAATAACTACTTTTCCACTACCAGTTGTAAGAATATTTTTTTTAACCTGAATACATAATTAACATAATTTATTATAGAAGAATTTTTTTCATTTACTGATTTTCGATTATCAAATGATGCATTCTCTAATAATATTAAACGTTGTTGATATTCTCTAATGGATTTTTTTAAACTAAATTTAGCTAGATGAAAACAAAAATATAAATTATTTTTGAAAATACTTCGAGCATATCAAAAGCAGTGCCGGAGGTACTTCAAATATAGTATAGAAACGTTGAGGAGACTTTTTCTCTATATGCACTCATTGTAAAATTAATGCTCTATATACTTCATGATTCCCTAACTAATATCATAATAATAAAAGCTGTTAGCACAATTTCTGTGATATTAAAATGCAAAACACTATGTAGTTGCTAATCGGATGGGGATTGATTTATTCTATCTATTTTCAGACACATTTCTTCACCGTATTTTTATCTAATCCTCCTGAAATTCAATAAGGAAGTAGTTCATAGATTAAAACGAGACGTTATTCATAGACTGTTTTTGATCGAATATCAACAACGTCTGTCACTGTCTATGAGAGATGGTGAGAGAATGGATTTAAACTTCTACCCCAGATAATTGAACACTCCTTGTGTTTCATAAAAATCTCTATATGAACTGTTTGTTATTATATGTAAATCGTAAAAAATGCTTCTTTTTCAGTTTTTGCGATACTTTTAACACGTTAAGGAAAGATCGTAGAAAATTCGGCGACTCCTCAGTTTGTGTCATAGTTTATTGATGAAATTTTTTTTGTAGAAAACGCTATTGTCTACTAGAATCACTATATAGATTTGAGCTCAATGCTTAACATTATGAAAAACATATCAAAACTCCATTGTCATTAAACGTTTTTCCACTACTTTACTCCTTGCGGTGTTTTTACAGTGAGATTTTCAATTACTATGTATCCATTAGAACTACTAATTGAAGATCTACAAAATTATGCAATGTTCAAATGTTGAGGACTTATATAGATATTTAACTCGAAAGTTGACGCCGCTTTTTCTACTTAAAAAAGAAAAATATTCAGAAAACATATAAGAAAAATGAATAATATACGATTCCTTGTGTATTCATCTCCTATTTCTAATACTGAAAACCGTAGTTTTCGACCTTAGCTCAATGAGAAATTATTCACAATAATCAACAGCTCATATTGAAATTTTATTATTACGATCCTGTATGGTATAGAAGTACCTTCGTCACTACTTTTGGTATGCTTTAATTATTGTTATTTTTTTTAAATACATACCTTCATCTTCATTTTGTAAAGCTTTAGCTCGTTTAATTTTTTCTTTCTTTAAATTTTCTGGACTACCCCACACTTCATAAGCTCTTGTAAATAAAAATAAAAATGAATTTTTTAAATTTATTNTATACAATAATTAGAATATCTTCAATGATAAAGTTTATTTTTTGATTTTTTAGGAATTAGTTGATATTCAAGAAAAACTTCAACGAGATTTAAATGCAAGTCTAGAATCTCAACGACGTTTAAATGAAAAAATTCAAGGTCTTGAACGAAAAAATGATAAACTTCAAACAACAGTTCATGAACTTGGAGAAACTGTATGTTCTTATATTTTGTTTTCTTCTCAACGAGAAAAAAAAATATCTCGATATAGATAATCATAAATGATCGTAATTATCAAATAAAACTAACTTCAGCAGATGATGAAAATCAACGATTAAAATTAACACATAAAGAAGATTTAAAAGATCAGGAATTAAGAACAAATAGAGATATTTCAGTTCAATACATTTTTTAATTCTTTTCTCTGGAATACCCACAGTTCAAGATATTTCAATAATTTTATAGCCAATAATTGCGATATGGCATATTACTCATATTCATAAATCAAATTTTTAATGAGCAATAATTTGGTATATAATACTCTGTTATATCATTTATACTTTAAGTTGTAGAGAGGAGCATAATGCTTTTGTAGCACCCTGTACAGAGTTGTATACGAAGTCGCGTGCTATCGTATTCACATATTCTTGTCATTCAAGTAGAAGGGATTTTTTCTTCCTCTTTTTGTCTTAAACATGAATTTTCATTTTTAAATTACTTAATGTTTCATTTTTTGTTTGGATCGATTTAAATAAAAAAATATTGTTTTTTTGAAAGGAATATTTATCATTATATTTATTTGCTGAGTTCAAAACGAAAAATTGATATGCTCGATAAATGTAACTTGACTTGCGACTAATTTATAACCAAATACATACGTTATTCGTGTTCGAACGTATGACATCGTATATGACTGTTTAAAATAGTGCTTTTTCGACCCGAACAGTTTAGAATAAACAGTTGTCCACATTCGAGAGTTTTATTTTCAGTAAAAAAGAAGTTTCAGGAAGCCGACTAGTGCCTACGTAGGGAGAGCTTACTGTATAATCATTATGTTCTGTTCTTCATAGTCTCGTTATAATTAACAATTAATTGCTTATCGAGAAGTTGAACAAAAAATTAATCTTCAATCAGTTGAAATTGAATCATTACAAATGGTAAAATTTAGTTTTTTGTTTTTTTATGTTGGAATAAAGTGTTTTGTATTTTCCAGACAGTTCATGATAAAGATACAGAAATTCTTGAAACTCGTGAAACAACAAAAAAAGATTGTCAACAAACAAAATTATGTTCAATTCAAAAAGATATCGATATGAATGATGAATTAAAAGATCGTATTAAACAATTAGAAAATGAATTAAAAGGTAATATTAACAAAAAAAAAACTTTTTTTTAGTTTTAAAAATTTTATTAATCATAGATCAACGTTATACTGATCGAAATACAATTTATGAACTTGAAAATTGCGTAGCTGATTTACAAAAGAATATTCTGGTAATAGAATTTTTGAACAATTGCCGTTTGTTAAAAGATGTAACTTCTTCAAAAAAAAGGAATGAAAGAAAGATAAGGCGTTGAATTGAAATTTATCGCTTTTTTTTAATCATCGAAACTTTGATATCAGTTAAACTTGTATTGAAAATTAACTTGAATATATACTCTTGTATTGTCGTATAATTATCAATCTGTATAAATAATAATAAGATATATCTTTCAATCTAATTTCTGAACTATTTGACATATCGTTGCTTATATAATATCTCATTGAATACAGAGTAAAGCGAATAAGAATTTTGTTAAAGGTGAAAAGAGGATACGGCTCTTTTCTTTTTCTGTCGCCAATGTAATCACAAGACCACCTACTGATTAAGAAGTGCTGAGCAACGAATTTTTTCTTTCTTCGGTTATTCGTTTAACATATGAAAACAAAGAACATACAATATTATTAAATGTCTCAATGTCAAATAGATTTTGTGAAAATTGTATTTATAGTTACAACAAATCTCTATTGTCATTCTTGATCGAACCATAAGACGAAACTTAACTTCACCATAGCACATACCTAGTTTAATCCATCTACGTATATTTCATAACCTAAAACAACAACACCTATGCTATATTTTTTTTCTGAATGAACAAAATCAAATATGTATTATCCAACTGTTGTTCAACCGACACCTGCGGGTACATGGCCAAATACATATCAAATCAATACTCAGCAACAACAACCCATACCTACTGTATATTATCAAGTACCTACAGTTACTGTTCCTTCTCTTTCCACTACAACAGCACCTGAAGTCATTGTTTCACAACAACCAGTACCTACTGTATATTACCAAACACCTTCAGTAGCTATTCCTCCTATTCCGACTGCAACAACTTCTCAAACGAGTATTCAACAACCACAGACCACTGCGACAACAACAATAAAAACAACAACAACTCGAATTCTCGATCCAACAACTTTACCAACAATAGATCAAAATTCTGTTACCGAAGAAATAAAAACTACAAGAACTACTAAACCAGAAATACCAGCAACACAAACAATCGTTACTTCAACAGCAACAAGTGTTCCTCAAGTAACGACGACAACAATTGCACCAACCATTGAAACAACTACAATTCAAGCAAGACCACAAAATCAATTTCGCCGTCTAAGAAGTCTTTCAACATCGACATATTCAGGTAGTACAACAACTTCTACACGTTCCACAATTACTCCACAACCTGAAATTATCAAACAACCGGTTGTTCTTCCACCACAAGTACCGATTCAAACAACAACTATAGCACCTGTACGTCGTGTAATACATCGTGCACATGATCGACCACGTACACCTAGTGGTTATTATTCATCTGATCTTGATTATGGAAAACGAAAAGTTTACAAAACAGATTATAAATATCGTCATTATTATTGTTGTAATGTATGTAAAGGTCGTTGTGATTTACGTAATCGTTCATATGGTTGTTGTGAATGGTTTTATGGATGTCCTGTATGGGCATTAATTTTATGTGGATTATTTTTTCTTGCTTTACTTATAACATTTCTTACATTATTTGGTTTACAACCATCAATTAATTCAACACGTCGTGCTGAAACAGCTCAAACACGTTTATTAAATCGTACACAAATTATTTATGGATTTTATAAAAATTGTGGTTATCAAATAAATGCAACATCAGGTACACCAACTACACTTATTTTATGTACAAATACAGCAACAACAACAACTGCACGTATAGAATTATCATCATTCTATACAGTAATAAGTGGAACAAGTTATTATTCTTATAGTAAAATATTAACTTTGGTTTTGTTATTTATTTGTTTTGAAAATTTTCGAATTTAATATTAATGTTTTAAATAAATAGTTTTCGAGCAAAAATTTCCATATAGAATATTGAAATCGATCTGACCTTTATTCAGAACAGTTGGTCTAGTTCAAGGTTGATACTACAGTAGTCTTTGTCATAGTCGACATATTTGTATTAATGTCAATCATGATTTTTAAATTTAATCCTTTGAAGATCAAATTATTGTGAGCCAGACTACTTTTCCATAGACCGATATAAACCGTACTGAGCAAAGAATTACCCATGCTTATCCAAGACCGCTCAGGATGACATTATTATAAATATATTCCGTTTACAAAAAGAATTTCTACACAATAGAACGCCACAATCATTGCAGTCATTTAAAAAATTTATTACTATCACGATCACGAGTTGAATAAGGTCAGTCAATCTTCATGCAAAAAAAACATTAATAGGGATAAGTTAAATTACTTATTGAACCGAAAGTACGAGATGCATTCGTTGGTACTTCAACTTGGCGCAAATTATCACTGATTAACAAGAATCTTTCACGAGTAATGAATACACTGATCAATGTCAAAGTGTCATATCGATTATCTTTTGTAGTTATACTGTCCCATATCATTAAAGTTAATGTCACTTAATACAGTTGATAGTTCAATCGGCGGCCTTATGTGATGATGAAACATGTCACCGACTTGAATGAATGTTCTGTTTTTATTTATTACCTAAATGAAATTTCTAAAACATTCGTTTACGAGAGAAGCTCTTCGACTGTCTGCTTTCAATTTCAATGCATTTTTTGTCTATAAATACTACACAGTGTTCTAATTAAAATCCTAAAGGATTTAGATTTCTATTAAGATTTGACTTGGATATCGATTTTTTTATACAATCCTCAGGTTTTCGAAAGACTCGTCTTTTTGAATTTTGATCTAAAACTTTGCGCAGATAGAGAACTCAAATAGACTAGTTTTCTTAAAAAATTCACAAGTTTTGAACAAACACTCTTTGAGATGTGAGACTTTCAAGATGTAGACTCTTTTCCAAGGATAGTGTATAGAACATTCATTCTTTGAAGCTTTCATGTCTCTAAGAGATTTTTGCTCAAAACTTTTGAATTTTTTTCTAATGGAAACTAGTCTACTTAAGCTCTCTATATGTATAGAGTGACAGATCAAAATTCGAAAAAACGAGTTTTATCGAAAAGCTGGAACCTCTAGAAAATAGATATATTAAAAATTCGATATCTTATGCATATCTCAATAGGCAGTCAAATCTTGTTTGGATCTTTATTAGAACACTATATAGTACCTATAGAAGAGGTTCCCTTATTAGTAAAGCTTCCTGATTGTTATCAGTTGTGACATGCATAATCTTCAAGTAGAAAATGTTGATGTAAAATCAGATTTTAATTGGATTCAAATAGTACTCATTTGTTCAATTTGTATTAAATTTAGCGGCATTTTTTCTTACATGAGTAAATATCAATTAATATCGTATCTGAAACCGTGACATCTGAGTCAAAGACTCATCTGGTATTATATTTACTATTTGTTGAACTAAAGAATCTGAAAAAATGATTCAACAGTTTCAGTTTTCAATTTATAATAGAAATTCGTACTTTAGTCGAAAAGATAAATATTGAAAGATAAATACACTGACTTATTCAAACATCGAAACCGTGCAAACTATTATTTAATTGTTGGTAAAGAATTCAATATGTTTACTTCATTTATAAAATTGATATTTATTAGAAAAAAAAAGATGTTTCTTAACGAGGAGCAAAGGTAAAAACGAGAAAAAACCTAATGAACAAATTAACTTGAATCGTGCATATGTTTCATTGTTTTTTTCGTGTGTATGAATAGGTGTGAGTGACGCGAACACCCCCAAACTCATCTTTGCTACACCTTACTAATCAGCTAATAATGTTATTTTCGTTTAAGTAATCGACTGTTGATGTTTCTGTTTTTCACACTTTAAATTTCAAACATAAATACTATCATAAGAACATATATTTCAACATTTTTGGTCATCAATATTAGTTGGATAAATTTTAAAAATTCGAGAGAACTTCGAGTTTAGATCAATGCTATTTCTATCAATTAAAAGCCGAATAATCTAATTGTAATCGACTTTTTCTTTACATGGGAAGTCCTCCTTGAAGAATATGTAAACTGAGCCTCTTTCAAGATCTTCTCTTTACAAAAGAATATTATTCGATCCTCCGCAGAAGAAAACATTGATGAATGAAGGAAAATTCTCATTAGTAGAATCACATTATATCTAGCTGAGTTTAATAGATATGCAGAAATGCATTATTTCTTTATTCTTGTATTCCTAAATATTTGTTGGTTCAGATCATCGTCTAATAAAATTTCCTATAAAAAAGTTCTGATTCTTCTATATATCGCTTTTTGAATAGACTACAATTAATCAGAATCATCAAAACAAAGTTTGTTTTGAAAAATTTTGTAAAAATATTACAAAAATACAAATAATAAAACTAAAGAGTTGTAAAGTTAAAAATTATTCTATTCAAAAAAAAAGATCGGACTACAAAATGACATTTGCTAAAACTGATCTCAATCCGGCAAAGTTTCTATAAATTAATTCTTTATTCATTCTCACAACGTTAAAATTAGAACTAGTCTGAAACATTAAAAAATACAATCTATGCTTTATATTCTCATAAAAATCATAACAGTATCATAAGAAGTATTGGTAAGTCAACAATAACGAGTTAATTCGAAAACGAACAACATATACGCTCCGCATCTTCACGGGGCAAATGTACTTGTTATCAAGGATATAATCACAAAAAAATATTTTACACAGGAATGAATCTTCAATTTCAATCCCAATAGATACAATCAGAGTTATTTATATTTAATAACAAAAATAATATGATGAAGTAAATAGAAGTACTGAAAATAGTTTCTATAATCATTTTATTTTGACACACAAAATTTTCAATACAATTCTTTTTCGGTTGCAAAATGAACGTGTTGCGTTGTTGTAATCGGTTGTGGTAATGAATTTCTTATATTTTCGATTGGCTGTACAAATTCATCATAGTTTTCCACATCATTATTAAATGCCTCATTTTTATTCGCAGTATTATCGATAACATTTGAATTTTTAGACGACTTAAAACGTGTACGAATAGCAAACCATAATACACCTACATAACATGATAAAAGAGCAATAGCTGCTAGAACAACCATTACAATGATTGCACGTCGATCAGCTGAACTGAAGCCATAACTTGTCTTGCAAATATCACATTGAATATCACCCGTCACATTCATTATACTTCAAATAACTGATTTTTCATTTCAGAACAGAAAAAAAAAGGTGAGCAATATTTACCGTCGCAGAAAAAGAAAAAGAAAGATTTCTAAACCTTCTCCTAAATATGCGTGTGTATGAATAATGATTACTTTCAATGTTATATGCATGTCGAGATAAATTGAAAAAACAACGAAAGGAAGAGATAGACAACGAAAAAAAAAATATGTCCTTTTTTTATGTGTCCTACAATCATGATACATATATTTATGTTAAACAAACTATATATTTTTGTTTTCTTTATTTCTGTTTCATTATTTTTTTTTTTTTTGAAAACAACGATGGTATGCGTTAATATTCGTTATTTAAAATAACTTTCCATTGGCCCATAAGGCGTCTAGAATAAAAAAAAACAAAAATCAACGGATTGAATATATTTATAATAAATGAATCTTACCAAAACAAGTTCATCATCTTGATCATTATCTTCATATGTTGGTAAATTGTTCACATTATATTGTTGTTGTAATTGTAAATTATCGTATGGAATATTAGGTGATTCTAAGAAAAGTGGATAACGATTATATTCATATCCGTCATTAGCATCATCATCATCATCGTCATTCAAGGCAATTGGAGCTTAATAAATAGTTTAATGAAATATTATAAGAAACAAATTAGTTTTGCTTTTACTTTGATCATCCTCATTTTCAATGGTATCCGAAAAGATTTTATTCCATTCAGGTGATTCATAGATATATGGTGCACTAAGTGAGCGAGTATTTCGTTCATATGCAGGCGGGTACCAATAGAGAGGACTAAGATATATAAATAACTAATTAAGATAAATAAATAATTATATAAATTCTTACGCAAAAGCTCGATTTGGACGGATAAATTGTTGACGTTCAATTAATGATTCATATAACTAAAATGATAATAATAATCATGTAAATAAAATTCTATAATTTATAATTCGTTTTTATTCTTCCTTTAAAATTTAATGTTAATTTTTGTCTGCAATATACTTTAAATTTAATATATTCGCTAATGTGTCCTTCAAGCAAGTACTATATTCAAATAAATGTCAAAAAATAGCTAGCAGTAATCTATGAATAACTAGGTCATGACTAATAACAGATAAAAAATAAGCTGGTGTTTGTTATTTAGGAAGTAATTGAAAACACATAATTACGACAAAATATTTTTCTCATTATTACCGGATCATTATTATAAAAATCATATATTGATGAAGCTCGTTTACGTCTTTGTTTCGATCCTTGAGTTAATTTAATATTACGACGTTTTCGTGCAAGATTTGAAAATTCAAGTGGATCCATTTTACTATCAGTAAATACATATGTATTGTCTGTATCAACTGATTCTAAAGAAAATAAAAATTAATAAAATGATATTTTTTATAACTTATGAAGTCATAATAAGATTAATAACACTCGGTAAATGAATATTAAATTCTTCAAAAAGAAAAAAACATATAGTAAAACGTACTATCTGTATCACCATCAAATTCGGTTGGGTTTTCATTAATTATTGTATGTAATTTATTTTCAACATTATATTCATCATCTTCATTACTTTCATCATCTATAAAATCATTGAATCGATCATAATTATCAACATAACGTTTTTTCTTAATATCATTAGTTTCATGTTGTATTGAAGATGCGTCTGATGAATGAAGAGAAGCGGTAGTTGTAGGACTAGTAGACGTTATTGATGGTGTCGTTTGATCAACAGATTCTTGTGCAACTATTTTAGACAATTGAAGAGCTAAACAAGTAAAAACAAAGAAAGAAAATTTTTATGATAAAAATTAAAAGAGTATCTAACGTTCTTTCATTGGTTTGACAGGTGCAGATTGAACAACAATGGCTATGGTTACTAACAGTAAACCAAATACGACTAAAGCTATTTTAGAAGTCATCTAAAAAATGCTTTTTATGACGATTGTTGTTTCTAAACTATGTGAAAAAGAAGTCATGAATAGCAGAATATATATAGAAAGAGGCTAGAAAAAAAAAAAACTTTTTATCAGTTCTTTTGTCATCGTCGAAGTCAAGCATAGTTAAATGTAGGAACACTTTTTTTTCTCTCTATGTTGCGCTCAACGTTGTCGTTTTATGAACGTATGTAGTAAGCGCGAGAATTTTTTTTTCTTGAATATTTTATCGTTTTCTATTATAAGTCAGGAAAACTACTAAAAGTGATTCTTCGGAAAACACGTCAACTCACAAACTTTTTTATTCATTTTATTAGATGAATTAATGAATTATATTACTCGATGTTACGTTCTTGTTTTGGTAGTGATGAGCAACAGGACATTATTGAAAAAGAACACGGCTTTTTCTTTTATTTTCAAGACTATATCTAAATACGTACAACAATACACGTATATTTTGGCAAACGAAGAGGAATACAGAATAAAAGATGAAAATAACTATGGAAAGGGAAATATAAATTTCACGGTGATTTTCAATCTCAGAACGAGATCTATATAGATTAGTAGAGTAAGTCTTCCTTTGTATGCATTATCAAGTGCTATTGCGTATCACTGAAATAACAATATAGCTTGCCATTTCTATCGCATTTGACAATAGTTACCACAAATATGGCTCTCCCTGCCGGTATTTCAACTGTACGCAATAAAGCTTGATAATCTAAACACTATTAGATAGAGAAAGTCTTTCTCTACTACATTACATATATGCCGTTTGTGGATCAAAATCCTATAGTTGCGTTTTTAAAAAGGAACGAGATGTACACTAGGAAGTAGTAAGAAAAGTGTGTTCGTGACTACAGATCTGCAGAACCATTTTTTGGTTCTAGTCCTGATCAAAAGAACTGAGACTACAAGAAAAAAAGAACTTGTTCGAATTGGAGGTCATAAAAATTGTAGTTAAATTGTCTATGACTTTTAATAAGTTATGCTATAAATTACATAAATTAAAGCAAAATTCTGGAGAGATAATAAAAAAAGGGACATTCATAGGCTGAATTAATCAAAACACGAGTATTTTAAGCTCTGTAAAATGAATGAAAATCAATTCTAAAATAGTTCTCTCTCAGTCGGAAACAGATTACGTTTAACAACGCCATCACTGGAATTACTAAAAACATACTACCGGAACTCAAGCTCATCGGACTGATTTCGGACACGATTGGGTTCAGTTCTGAAATTTTTCTGTTAACCAGAACTCTGAATAAAAAAAAGTTGGTTTCGTGCATCTCTATTATCTTTCGATTTGTGTTAAAGAAACGATATGACATTGTAATGTGCCATAGTATGTGCATAAAAAAAGCACAATGTTCTCTCCTATTTTATTTCAATGGTATTTAACAGTCATGATGCATATAGAGCAATTCTCTTCATCCTATTTGAAAAATGTAAAAAATTTTTAACTGTAATGTCTTATTAGAAAGAACCCCCTATACAACGTTCGTTTATTTCAAACGCTGACTATCGTAATCAGAACTCATCACAGCACAATCATTAAATATTTGCAATGATTTTAGATTCCATGATCTTGTCGAATCATAGTCTACGTAGTCTTATATACTCTATATTGAAAATACATTTCTTATTACTTTTTCATTGTGAAGATCAGGGTGTATCAAAAGTAAACTTCTCTAGAAAATAGTTTTTCTACAGAAAATTATATAGTTTATGAATAGAATAAAAGCGTATGAGAGACCCAGTCTACTGTCAGAGTATAATCACATTCTGACAGAATGTAGATAGATAGGTGGGTGGTCGCTCATGTTTTGTTTTTCTTTTTTTTTTTTATATTCTCATTTGTAGTTAGAAAAGAGAAATGCTCTTGCTCTCATTTCTTTATATGACGATTATAATTAGTTGACAACATGACATAGAGGGAGCATCGAAGCCATTTTATATATATATATATTTTCTTTTTTTTTGCTGGGAAACAAAAAAAGAGAAATAATAGCGCAGAAACACAAAAGAAGACCTAATGAATTCATCCAGGGTTTGAATTTTTTTTTTCTTCGACTTGTTTATTTTTGCCGCTTGAGAATTCGTTATAATTTGCCAATAAATATAATCATATTGAAAAAAAAAATTCTTGATTATTCATTATTTATGTAATACAAGTAAATGTTTGAAAAGAATTTGTTCGACTAGAAAATATTTCATATGATATTGTTGAATCAAAATTTATTTGATAATTAACTAATGATTGACATTTAATGTTTAAATATTCAGCTAGAATTATCAAAGATATCGAATACGTAAACAAATTTTGCAATAGTTTCTCTTTTACAAATATTCAAGTTAATAAATAATAGATTATCTGAAGTTTTCTGTTAGAAGATGTAGCGTTTGATTCTCTAGAAAATTCTATTGATTGTTGTTTAAAACAACGTAAAAGACACTTTTCGCAATTTCCGAAAAGATGAACGCAAGAAACTTGGTGTTTGTAATTAGAAACTTCTCAAAAAGTTCTTTTAATAGAGTGTATAATTGTTTGATCAGTCTATATTTATTGCGGAACAATAATTTATGTGAGTTAGTAGAACAAAAAAAAAATGCCTTTTTTACAGTATTCGAATACTTGCTTCAACTGAGTTCTTTTGCCGCATGTTATTTGGATTGTAGATAACGAGACAAAACTCCGTAAAAATGAGCATTTCTGAAATGTCTTTTTGAAAATTAGTAATTAATGAAGGAAATTTCATTATTAGTAAACTATAACATGTACTTTACGCCAAATAATGTGTATCAACACATAATTCATAAATATATACAATCGATAGAACTTTTTAAATGCTGTTTAAGACAAAATGATTATTTTTTAAATTAAATATTTGTTTCCATAGAAATAAGACATCATTAAAAAAATATGTGCTAAGTAAATTACATTTACAGAGTTACGAACACAGTCTAAAAATAGTTTCTTTACTGTGTTTTTTGTTAAACTAAGGTCAATAGAATTTTCTAGAAAGTGAAATGTTGCATCTTCTGACAGGAAGTTTAGAATTATCTTATTTCTCGACTTAGATATTTCTAAAAAAAAAAATATGTCACAAAACTTTTGTTACATCCGATATATACTTGAAAGTAGTAATTAAATATAATGACTTGAATGATTTGGGTAAATGTCACATGGATAGTTATCTATAGTATTAATAAATTTTTCAGATCTCATTATTTATTATTTTGTCGTTTAAGAGCATATACCAGTGGAATAAATAAAGTCATGAAGTACTGAAAAACAAGCATCAACCGCTACACAATCATATTTTATATTTACTGAAAGCCTTGATTCAATATTAATTCGATCATTTTCATTAATAAATTTCCAAAGTAAAATATATATATATATATATTCAAAAAAAACCAGAATAATCCATTTTAAAGATTTTTCTCGCATATGAACAATATTTTGATGATCACAATCTCGTCATGTATTTATTAAATATTCTTCAGGCATTTTGACCTAGACAGTTTTCATTTATATCTGGAAAAGAAAACAATACTGATATAGTGTCTTTTTGTTACTTGAACAATATCATTACTGAAATTGGAGCTTCTCATCATGAGAATGTATGATATATATATATTGAAATACATTATTTAAATTACCGTATGTTTGACGAATTGTATGACTTCACTTCAATGAATGTAGTTTTGAAATAATAAATATTAATAAGTCAATATGAGTATCCTTATTTTACAACAAAACTTGTCATTTACTAATTCATAGTCAAATAGATTTGAATGAACAGGCTTTCGTTTTTCCATAGATGTTTTGCACTCAATAAAAGATATACAGGGTCGTGCATAACCTTTTGCTAGGGGGGTAGCGCTATTATTTCAAGTTGAATACCTAATGAATTTTATACCAAATTAAAGAGCGTCGAAAACTGGATTTATTAGTACTAAATAGTAAGAGTTATCAAAATATGTTAATGTGGAACTTACGAAATTTTTGGAAATTTTATGCTTTTTTTAGCATAGAAAATTAAGGCACCAGCAATTCAAACATAGAGTAAGATATTTTCTTTTNCTCTATAACTCATTTTCTAGTTTACAGTGTACGAGATATCTTTATTTCTAATTCGAGATCGATGTCCACATCCATAATTTCATTGTTGTTCGCAAGATACCTGTGCCCCCTTTTTATACCTTTAGTATGGAAACTTCTAAAACTTTCTCAGCTGTTCTAGGAAACTTTTTAAAAAAATGCAAAAAATTTCTTACCAACCCAATATATTCGCCAATTGGCGAAAAGCTAGTTGATATTCACCATTTGGCGAAAAAGAAGATTGGCAATGGTATAATACCCCCAATCGGTTATACAGTTTTGACCATCAACATGAAAGTTAACAATGGAAGTTAGAGAGCTAGAACCTATCGTTGTGGCCGATTCATAGAATGTTATGGGCTAGCTGAGGCTCAAAATAACAGATAATGTTCGTCTTGCAGCCACCACCGTACGTTTTCATTTTTATACCAACCATCTCGTTAGCCTGATGATTATATTCGTGCGTAAGTGTCTCCTATACGACTACACTCTCAAATCAAGAATACGGTTTCAATCCTAGAGTTTAAGGCGAATATGGTAGGTTATAATATTAGGAGCCCATTGATATGGTCGATTTTGACCATTTTTCAGACACCTGCATGCTTGCATCAATCACTGATGCAGTTACATCGAAGATTGGCATAATTTTTCATGGTTTAGCTGACCCCTTTCTTAGTTGAATCACGGTAATCAGGTATGAAAGAAACGCTTTATGTGTTATAGTGCCGTTTAGTAAGGAGTATAGCTTCGACTATCGTTATTAATGTTAATGATGCAACGATGGCGACAACAGTAAGTATGATTACAGGTTCACTTCGTGAACCATTGGTACGGTTATTGCTACAACTAAGAAAATCGTACCCGCGATTTCAGGACCAAT